TTCGGCTTTTCATATGCCTTATCTTCAAGAGTTACGTCATCCAGCATGTTCCAAAAGCCTTCATAATTTTTTCGCACTGTGGTTTTGCAGATATGAAGGACAGATTGAGAGCCAACGTGCAAAGACGCATCAAGTGGTGAATATCTCATTTCGAATGGCTGGTTCGACCACTATCATTTTTTGAAGGATTAAGCTAATGAGTCTGATTTTGAACCTAAGCCTATTTGGAAGCCCATGCATATAAGTCTAAATTTTGTCCATCCCGCAGATGATCACCTTTCATTGAATTGAAGACAAATTAATAGAAAAAGAGCAATAATATTTGAGATTGCACAAACGGTTCCCCGACTGATACGCTAAAGGACAATTTCAGAATAGATGTACAACAACAGTGGGCAAACGAATGAACATCAAACAATACTTTTCTCCGAAGAGCAAGATATAAAAAATATGTTGATTTTGCTTGGCCGTAGCGCACCGCACATGTATAAAAGAAAGGATGGCAAAGGATTTTGTCACAATCCAAATGTTGTTCGTTCTCACGGCACTGTCCTTCTTCCTGCTAACAGCCGGCGTTGGATCGGCGTGTGAGTATGGCTTCCATTCTATGTTGGTACAAATCCAGTCGCTTAGTTCACAGTCCCGCTTAGGTCCACTTGAGCAGTTTTACTTTCAGCAGTGAGAGAATATTATTGCTTTTTCAGATAAAATTGCTTCGGACCTTCTGAGGAAAAGAAAGAATTGTACGAAGAGTTCTTCAAGGGGATGAACCCAAAGCTGGTTCGTTTATTTTCCCTTGAACTACGATTCCACGACACGGTCGAAGGTGAAATGAGGGGAAGCTTACCTAGTGGAAATTCAGGCGTACCCTCTGAAGGTGCAGGACGATTACGCACTTCATAACGAAGGATGTGCCCCAGCGACCCAGCATGGCCCTCCGTGTGGTGCTATCAACGCAACGCCCACCGACTGACTGAGCACTCGCCAAAGGTCTTCAACCGTCTAGCAGGAGAGCTTTAACGTGGGAGGGGCAACACGGATAAGAGTCTCATTGATGCGAGAGTCAGCGGGCAAGGGAGATCCCATTGCTCGAGCTCTGCATCTCTTTCTGATCGTCCTGCACCACTGACCACCTCTTTCTTTGATTTTAGTGAGCTGCCTTTTATTCGCAAACTCACCTTTGAGTACGAAGCCGGACTGGAGGGGAACACTTGCATGGGAAGCTGCAACTAAATCCATCTTCCGATTTTATCATCTTTCCTCAATTAGTAGCTCTTAATTCGCACTCACGTCGCATACTGCCTACTGCTGGTACAATACTGCTATCACTAGGCTTGTTCATTAATGGTTTCGCGCAAGAAAGTGCATTTGTGACATGCGTTCATGTACGGCTATGGTTGAATGACATACACGGCATCAGAGGTGACAGGCAATGATTTTGGCGTATCAAAAATGATCAGCTCCGAGTGTTTCGCAGACGTAGTTTGAACTTGAGTAGAGAAAATCACCGCCAATCTTCGCAAACAATTCTTGTCTTGGCCTTCAGGTGTGGTATAACCCTTATGCCGTGAGGGCTTATGGAGGATTGTATGGTCATCCCGGCCGAGTACCAGCAAATGCTGACACAATCAGAGTGAACAAGTTAGTTTTCGCGTTCCCCTTTACATTTTCTATATATACAGTCTTCTCCAAGGACATTCGCGACACCACTGAACTTGCCAACACAGACAATCAACCGAGTCGATTTCGAGAACTACTTGAAAGGTAAGCATTTCGAGATTAAATCGTCTCACCAGGTAAGAAAAAAAAAAAAAAAAAAAAAAGATAGAAGATAACATATAACTGATGAAAAGGTATCAAAGCGCTGTCATACTGTGGCATTAACAACACCTCTTTTGCTTAAAAGCTTTTCCCATCACAACATGGGACTATTTTGAATGAACTTAGAGAACAGAAGTAAACTGGTATCGGATAACAATTCTTTCGGAGCCGTCGATACACTAAGGAGCCCCATCATAGGCGACTGGCTGCAGCTACAGTGAAATCATGGAGTAGAAGAAAAATAACAAGTCCCAGCGAAGAAGGACGAGATTGAGAGGACGCAGACTATCCTACATGGATCGCTATATCGAGAGTAGTATAGGAAGGCACACTGCGCAAGCACCCTCTTTCAAAACGCTTGGGAATGCGATGACGGCACAAATGTGCTTTGCATTTGTGCGCTTTTTCGCACTTCCAATCAGGTACCCCTACGTGCCAAACGAACAACGAGGGCGTCGCTTTGCCGAACGAAGGGGGGGGGCACATACAAGAGGAACTAGTGTGAAAGCGGAGGAATGGTCCCAAGAATGCAGCACATGCATTATAAGTCTCACCATCAAGCCATCGCTATCCTCAATACACGGACCGCACTTTCGAAACATTCCTGAAGTCTCAAGGAGACAAAGTGTAGAGCAGTTCATGGGAAAGTAAAACAACCATCAAACCATAAAACACACAATGGTACCGCAAAACATACAATGCAATTCGATCATGTACTATCACCTTCTTCGGGAAAGTGGAGGACCTTCAAATGCGAGTGCGACTTCCACCCACAGACAGGTGCACGGCGTATACCCGAGCAGGCGTTTTCCCATAAAAACGCCTTCTCTGTCAGCGGCCGTAAGCAGACAAACTTCCTCAAGAAAATTTTGATGCTTTTAAATCAAATCTAAGCGGAACAAAATGTAGCGAACTTGCTGAATTGAATTTCAAAGACCCCTTATGAAATTGAAGCAGAAGAAAGAATTCCATGAAAAGTTAACGCTAGTAATAAAGTACTCTTCGCGTAGATTCTAACGGTCTTTACCGCTTCTCATTTTATGAAGTTTGAAGGAAGTTATGGGTTCTTGAATATTGCAATGTCGCGGTTCAAGAAAGGCTTGAAAAAAGTCTATGAAATTCAACGGAACGACGGGACTATTTTTTGAACGAGTGATTTTTCAAAAAAGTTTTAGCCCTTATTCGAAAGCTCTAATCTTCTAGTTTCTAATTAGCCTTAGACATTCGCAAAAAGTTGAATACGAAGAAAGTTATAAATGCTTTAATGTCGGAAACTCGCGCTTTCTCAAAAATCGGACCCCAAACCCCCAAACGGAACGACGGGACTATTTTTTGAAAGAATGATCGCTGGAAAATTTTCAGGTGCTTGTTTGAAAGCGCTAATCTTCTAGTTTCTAATTAGCCTTAGACATTTGCAAAAAGTTGATTATGAAGAAAGTTATGAATGTTTGAATGTCGAAAACTCGCGTGTGCACAAAAAACGGAACAACGGGACGATTTTTTGAAATATTGAACATCCGCAACATTTCAAATGTTTTTCAAAGAAAACTATTTATATTTTTAAAATTTTGGTGTCCGGTTCCATGAAAACGCCTGTGGACGAAGATATAAGCTTTCAAAGAAGGCGCCCGTAACTATTGGAGACACTTCAACTTTATTGGACAAAGACGTTGATACACACAGGAATACACCGTAACACTAAAAAACACACATGTCCAATAGGGGGGGGTCGCACTGACACCCCTTGAAATGGAGGGGGTCGCAAAAAATTTGGAATTTGCGCAACGCAGGGTTGACCCTGCTTCCAAGGCATAATGCTATCAAAAAGCGCGAGTGCTTCCTTTCACTCAATAGGAAAACCAGTATTCGAATTTTTTTCAGCCGTTTTGCTTGCTTTCACTACGAGACCCGGAGAGGAGTTACGCTTCTCAGGAAACTGAAGAGGAATATTGAATGTTCTTTCAAGCAGCAACTTGCATCTTGTGGATTTCGTAAAGTTGAAGCGCAACAGAAAAAAGGGCCCTGCGCAGAATCTCCTCAAGTGATCAATGTTTGATATATGCCTCACATTGCGTCAAGCCGGCTGTAAAGGGTTCAATCCCAAGTTTTGGGCACTTACCGCATGTTGGTACGAGATGCTTATAACTATGTAGTGCCGGTGGTTAATTAAAGAATCACGATCCATGAGATAGCACAAATGTGCTGCGCGGTAAGAGCAGTAAATAGGGGCTGCAAAGCACTGTTCACCCGCTTACCCCTTATAGAAGCCCACTTGATGAATCGTAACTTGCAATTTATGTGTTGATTGTGGATACATTTGTCCAAACAATTTTTCTTCAGATCGGAAAATACCCTGCTGACACGAAATTTGGATGCAACTGCGGGTACAATTTGATAGATGCAAATGGCGAGAAATCAGCTACGAGAATGGATATGCTATGCATTTTCTTGTGAAGAAATAACTGATTTGACTTCCACCATAAAGCATCGTCGGACGATACTTGTCACGACTAATTCAAAAGGGATTCATAACACGCCGCGAAAACAGGCCTTGTTAGGCGGTCAAATTCCATCCAAATAACTAAAAGTCGGTTCCATGTCATACAGTCACAACATGTTGAGTATCAAAGAGACACTAATAAGCTTTTTCGCGATAAACTGACTTCTTCATACCCTACAGATTTTATAATTAACCCGCAGAACAGACGAGTTTGTGCCCCGAGGTTTGAATTTGAGAAATAAGAACACAAAGGAAATATTTCGTCACAGAGGATCCACTTGTAAGGAGTAAGACTTATCATCCAACGTCGACCACATTACATGGGAGCCTTGAGATAAACTCATACGAGAAGTACAGGTATGTAGTTGGAGTTCAATCAATGCTGAAAGAGAAATTGAGAGCTATTGTGGGACAGAATATTTGCTACTTACGCAAACAATTACGTCAAATATGTAATATCTCTCAAAACTCAGGCAACCAATAAAACAGAACATGTCAAAAGCTGCGATATCTGATAAAGGTTTCGGAATAGGAGTCAACCACATTACATTAAAGCCTTGGGATAAACAC